CCTGTATCATAGTAACCAGACTGCTGATAAACATACTTAAATATTTCTAAATACATACATACTCGCATAGATAAATTACACCCAGACAAAGAATAAAGGATAATGTTCATCACACAAATATTTGTCCACGGTGGAAATCGTACTCACGACCTCTGGCTTAGCAGCCAGGATCACTAACCACTAGACCAACAGGCCCGTCGACGGAGAGTCTTCTCTGGGGATGACAGAATTACAATCGAGCTGCTTAAGAAAATGGGTGCAGATTCAGGGCTCTGCACCAATTCTCTTTAATAGGGCATAGATCGGGAGTGCTGTGTTACTGCTCTTCCAAAAGACGCCAAGACTGTTTTAAAAAACTATAGACCCATCTCACTCCTGATCCATACCCCCAATTTCTCGAGAGTCATTACACGCCGTTTCGAATAGTTTCAGCTAACAAATCAAAACGGAAACAGATCACATCTATACCCATTATTTGGTAACTAGATAAACTTAGGAATACAATCAGCCGTAGAATATGTCTTTGGTAGACCACGTTAAAGCAGAAGTCTTTTGTAGTCCCATGGAGACCTGGGCAGTTCTAGATCAGCTCTGCAATGATGTCGCGTGAAATGGAAGGTGCTGACATGCTGGTTATCACACTGCCATGATCAAACTGCTTTGCGAAACTTGCCTTTTTTTACAAATCATGTTTTTTATCTAATAATTATGGTTTCGATGACATGTTTTTAATATTACGTTATACCAATACAATCACTCACTCACTCACTCAGTCACAATCAATCACGCGTTTCCTTGTTTACAAATTAAGTGGGCGGACGTATAATACTGCGTGTGACATTATTGACTTTGAGACTAAGTGACCTACGACACTCCATGACAAAAGAAAAACAACTAGAATTCCTAGTGTTGTGTTTTTTTTAATTATATAGGAAGCAAGTTTAATTGGTATTATCTGATTCCTTTTTTGTAGAAGGATATATACATCGTCATCATCAACAGCCTTTAGTAATCCACTGCTGGACATAGGCCTCTTCTTAGGTAGAGGATATGGCCTGTTTGTTTGTTTCAAGTTTTCCTTATCTTTTTAGTGCTGTTGCCCTGCGTAGTTTGTTTCCGTAGTCGGCTCTTACGACACCCACGTGATAAATAGGGGTGATGACACTCCGTATTCTTAATCCGTCACCACACGAAATCATATACAACACATATATCTTAATATTTTTGTATTTGGGATTTTTTAATTGTATAGAGGGTCAAACGAGCAGACGGGTCACCTGATGGCAAGCAACATACCGCCGCCCATGGACTCCTGCAACTCGAGAGTCACAAGTGCCTCCCTATGAGTCCCCCACCAGAATCAGATGGAGAGGGTTACTGCTATAGGTCTTAAACCACTGTCAAACACAAAAAAAAAACATTGAAAATCCGTATATATATGAAGGATTTATGCCCGAACATAAATAAAAAAAAACATCCGAAATGATAACCTCCTTTTTGAAATCGGTTAAAAATTTAACACACTTCAACTTTGTATAGACTAGTTTAGCTTAAACAGCTATGGTATCGGTTGGAAGGAAAAAAAAAGATGTTTTTTTTTCCTTCATCAAGCAATTAAAATTATTTTCTTCACTAATTGGAAAGATTGTAACATGTTGTTTGTTGTTATTGTCTGGTTACAATACTTATTTACCTAACCAAGTTATTGTGTGTTTAGCTAGAGCATGCTCACAAGAGAAGTTATCTCAAAACATGTTATAACTCCTTGGTTTCGTAACTGCAAGTTTATTGTGAAATCTTATAAATAAATATTAAGACCGTAGGTGTAGTGGTTAGTGAATCTGACTACTGAGCTAGAGGATATGAGTTCGATTTCCACCCAGGACCAATAATTAATAATTTATTTATTTGCTGATCAAAGGTGTACAACGGTGTTACATTTTTATTCATACACTAGCTGGTGCCCGCGACTTCGTTCGCGTGGAATTTGGTTCGATTGCCGGACCGGGCAAAATTTATATTTTATTTTGAGAGAAAAAATAGCCTAAGTTACTCTTTATATAGAAAGCTAGGTTTATTATAATGGCTGAAACCGTTATGTAGATAGATAGACAGACAGACTAAAAATATTTAAACTGGTTTTTACACTTAGGTGTCGTGTCGTCTAGTAGTGGCTAGAGGATAAACTCACTCACTCGGTAAAATGCAACACAAAGAGAAAATTAAAAAGGTTTAATGATAATTACGGACCGGAAAATTACAGACGCACTAATAAAGAATATTGCGTGCAGCTGAGATGCGTATGTTTGTATGAATGTGTGGTGTGACGAGATTAGATAATATAACAAATGTGCACATAAAACATAAATTTGACAATCTTTACACCTCAAATTCTATTTAATGGTCACTTTCTGTCAGGTAACGCCTACTTCAAGTAGTTAATATATTCATACACTACGAGATGCAGCAGTACTTACGAATAATAATAATAACTGTACACGGCCGTGTAATTCGAAACTAATGAGAGACTGTATAGTTGTAACCAAACCGCTGATAAATATACTATACGAATGTTTATCATTATTAGTATTATTACTAAATACACATATTACATACTAGCTGACCCGCGCAACTTGGTCTGCGTCTCTCAATAGTAATAAATTTTCTCCGTTTTTGAAACATTCTTCACTGGTGCTCCGCTCTTATTGGTCTTAGCGTGATGATATATAGCCTATAGTCTTCCTCGATAAATGGGCTATCTAACACTGAAAGAATTTTTTAAATCGGACCAGTAGTTCCTGAGATTAGCGCGTTCAAACAAACAAACAAACTCTTCAGCTTTATAATATTAGTATAGATACATTACCCCCAGACAGAGAAAATCATCGTTCTCATCTCGTATTAATTTGTCCTTTTTTTTTCTTTTTTCCGTGCGGTAATCCCCTCGGATACCTATCGGTGGCATGTCGGACTAAAACCGCACGCCGTCTCGGGTACTAATAGCCGGGGAACCAGGTATACCCTAGAAAGGAAGTCCCTGGTGTTGTATTAATTTGTCCTGAGTGTTAATCGAACCTACGGTTTCTGGCCTAGCATTCACGATAACCAGTAAACAAATACGCCTCAAATGTAAAAACGTTTAAAGCCTTATTAATCTTAACTCATTATTAATCTGTTTGTATAGGTGACGTCACCTTTTTAATGATGGCCGTTCTTACACAAACAGAATTTACTGTTTCTACGTCATTATCTTCTGCCTATCATTCTCTCATCACTCTTGGAATTAGGCGCAGTATGGCCTATCTTTTGTAAAACAAACAAATAAATATAGAATATTTCGCCATCGTTCCACACGGTAATTTTTTTTTATCCCCATTACTTGGATAAATTGACACTCCACCACTGTGCGCTTTTCAAGACACTTTTTCAGCGCACAACCAATCTATGGAAAAAGTTATCGTCTGCGGTATTTCCGGGCCGATACGACCTTTAAGGAAGGGGCGTACTCCTTCCTAAAAGGCCGGCGACGCGCTTGTTACTCCTGAGTTGCAGGCCTTCATGGGCAGCGGTGGTCACTTTCCATCAGGTGACCCGTCTGTTCGTTTGGCCCCTATTCCATAAAAAAAAAACAACAACGACAACGGCATCCTCTAAAGATTTCCACGTATTCCTGTCCTGTGCTAAACGGATCCATAATACACAGTTTGCATGTTTAAAGCGGGACAAAAGTAAAGAAATGACAAAAATCTACGAACGATTACGATAAAGACCATCGTTCACATCAACAGCCCTTAACAGTCCACAGCTGGACATAAGCCTCTCCATAGAAAGGAGGTTTTGGCCTACTATACCACGCTGGCCAGACGGGTTGGGTTATAGGGTTTGCGTCAAGTTCTCCTTCTCTCCGCAGTGCTGTTGTTCTGCGTAGTTTTTTCCCTTAGTCGGCTCTTACAACACCAACGGGATGAATAGGGGTGGTGACATTCTGTATTCTTAATCCGTCACCACACGGAAAGACCATCGTTCGCTGCTGCGCAATGTTAAATTTAACCTGAACGTTCACACTTAGCTCCACTCCACGGATGGACTTGGTCCAATAAGCATATACCTAGCAAAAGTATTCCTAACTATCAAGACTAGCATCGATTCACAGCAATCGTTTAATTTTGCGAAACGTATTGCTCGGGTGCCCGCTCGTGCTGTCTCCATAACGTAATCACTTCTGGTAGACATTCCATAATATCACGCTATTAGACGAAAGATGAATGTAATTCGTCTAATAGCGTAAATAAGTTCCTTGCCTAAATTAGTAACTTCATCTTCATTATTTCGGGTTACACTGGTTACAGAACTAGCAACACTAACCGCGCTATAGCACAAATAGTACTCAAAAATCGGAGTCATAATAGGAGACCCGCCATTGTTCTTTACAGACTCAAAATAACGCACGTGTACATCAAACGAGTTACAATTGACGAATCTGATGAGACCGACATAAAGCTTTATACTGTACAAAATCCAATGAATCTCATTTTATTCTCCCCTTTTACAAAAGGAAGTAACAATACTGGAGCTTCAATGTATGCAATTCCCATATGTTCATTTCAGGGGAAGCGTTCAGTTTTGTCAGTTGGCGGTGACACATCCTGTCGGGGAGACAGATGCAGTGACAATTTGATCACACATTATTATGAAGACGTCACATTATGTCATAATTTGCCTATAGTCGGATGGAATTATCCGGTTTCGAGCCGAAAATCAGGGAAATTGATAACCTGGGTTTTGACAGTTTTAAAATGGCCCTTTCGCAAAACGACCATGAAAAAGTTGTTAGCCAACGTAGAGTAATTTTTCAAACGCGCTGTTGTTCCTTGCACGTGTCTCTACAACACAGTAAAACGACGTTTATTTTGCAAGTGTAGAAGTACTCCTAAAATTGAATTAAAAAAAAAACAAAATTATTAGTAAAACATTGTAATAATCATTTCTCTGTTTCACAGGAGGTGCAAGCTCTAGGCGATCTCCTAGGATGGCTCCGCGACTCCCCTCATCTGGTCGCATTATGTTTACTGCTAGGCGAAGAACATATTCCTCCCAGTCTTCCGTCAGCTTTAATCTCGGGATTGTATGGCAGCTGTCGGTCGACTACGGACAGGACGCGGTTTCTTGCAGTCGTGAGGTCACTCATCAAGCATCAAATGGCCGTCGCCAGTGATCCCCGGAAGTAAGTGGTTTCAATACTCATCAGAGAAAATAATCTATCTGAAATAATCTCTGAGATGCCTGGTCGATGTAGAACCCTCAGTGATTTGAAAAAAGTAATTTCTTCTTCTTCGTCGTGTCAATGGGTGAACACCCCTAAATATTGTCGGTCCAAAATTCTGTGGGATACAAGATACTGCACAAAATAAGTAGTAAGACCGTAAGAATTTACACGAATTTGATGGAAGCTTAATAATACACCCCAGGTGGCCTGTTGAAATTGATTATATTTATGTTGTCAACTTATTAATTCATTTTGGTCTTAATTTACCACATTTTAGTTAAAAGAAAAACACTTAGGGAAACTTCGGTCTGCGCTAAACGGCCAGAAAACTGAATAAAGAGGGCTGAAGATCGAGCTATGTGACCTTTGGAAAAGGGAAATGTTCAGCAGTGGATGATAGGCTGATGATGATGCTGATTAAAAGAAAAACCAAAGTCTATATTTTTTTATCCCCCGCACAGGTTATTTCGCATCGGAAAATGTGCATTTGCTTCCCTATACGCCGTCTACCGCGATGGACATACACCTGCTCGCCAGTTCCTCATCGCCGCGTTGCAGAACCCAGTGATGGCTGTGCTCTCCGAGGACGAGTTCTTCTTGGATATTGACCCTGACAAGGCAATGGAAAGGTGAGTCAAATTTTTTTATAAGACAGCACAACAATCATGGAGCCTATACTACAGATGTACACTTTGGTTTGCTTCGGCGTTGCTTCCCAGTGTGATTTATTAAATTCTGGCGCCTTCTGGCTGTAAAGTCCGACTTGTAAAAATATTTGAAAATATTTATTACAGAAAAAAATATAATTTCGACGGGCCTGTTGGTCTAGTGGTTAGTGTTAGAGTCACTAGGCTACGGGTTCGATTCCCAACCAGGACAAATATTGTGTGATGAGCACGGTCATTTGTTCTATGTCTCGGTGTAATTTATCTATAATATGTATTTAAAAATATATATGTATGTTTATCAGCAGTCTGGTTACCATAGCACAGGCTCTGCCTAGTTTGTAATCTCGCAGAAGGAGGCGGCGGGGAAGGCCCGGGAGGACGACCTCCACTCGGACCTGATCCGCCGCCGACGAACCGGGCGGCGGAGGCGCGCTTACCTGCGCCTCATGCCGCCCTGAGTGTGGCCGCGGGTGGACGGGATGGGTTCTCCCCTCCACCCGCATTAGTTGGCCAGCCGCGAGAGAGGAAACTTTGAGACGGAGCCCGCAACAGGAGCGGGCCGGCGCTGGGAGGGGTCCAGAAGGCGATAACTACCTGGACCCCTCCTAAACTGGAAGCGCAAAGAGGGCATACCGTGTGGTTTTAGTCGGTTCGAGTCCGACACACCGCCCCGCCGAACGAGAGCCCCGGCGGGGTGACGGTCCGAGGGGATTTCCACACGTTAACAAAAAAAAAAAAAGGCTCTGCCTAGTTTGGGATCAGACGGCCGTGTGTGATATGTTGTTATTATTATTATTATTATTTATACCCAGATATGACTAATGAACTTTCACCATGGGAGGGTAGAGGGCTCGACCGGAGTGATACCACGGCCTCACAGGATAATATATTCGCCTGTTTGTGTAAACGTTAGCGATCTGCTAAGCCAAAGGTCGTGGGATAATTTATCTATACAAATAAATAAAATTGAAGTGTCTGCTTGTAATGTCAAAATAATAGATTTTTTTCATGCTCACACGGTTTTCTACACGATACCTATGCTTAAAAAACAGTTTAAATGTTTTTTGTATGTCTGTGTTTTGCGTGTAATCTTCAAAACGGCTGCACCGATTTTGATAATATTTTACTACAAGGTAGCTGTCTATATAAGGAGTAACTTAAGCTATTTTACCTCTCAGAAAAATCCTATTCAATTTTGCCCCGGCCAGGAGTCGAACCCGAAATCTCATCAACTGCAGTCGCGTACTGCGTGGTACTTGCGTAACACTAAGGCAGCGAACGAAGCTAGTGTATAATATGTATGTAGATATTCAGAAATATATAAGTATGTTTATTTATGAAATGAAATGAAATGATATTTATTTCTGTAAGTAAATCTTTTCAGATATTTTTACAAGTCGGACTTTATAGCTAGAAGGAGCCGGCATTTCCTAAGACTCACTCTGGGAAGAAACGCCGAAACAAACCACAGAGGTGTCTTTTTTTTTTTAAGTCCGTAAACAAAGTTAAATAAAACTGTGCGAGTACAGTATAGGGTCTGGATAGGCCTTTTGAGGAAAGGATCATAGTTTTGAGTCAACCTGTCCATACAGACGGCATACAGGCTCCAGCCATCGTGTAGCCCAACCGATATTGGTCAAGATCAACGACCCGAAGCACGACACTACCGCCAGCAGGACATTTGGGTAGGCCGTGGAAACACTCAAAACCACCAGAAAGAAATAAAATATGAATTAACATTACAAGCCTATACTGTACTCACATTTACATACTTACACAAAAAATAAAAATAAATACTATACAGTTCAAAGTCAACGAAAAATAAAATACGAAAACAAAATACGAAATACACCAAAAAAATAATAATTAAATGTCCATCACTTTCAAACTTAACAACAAAGATGTCTACGTAAATGTGGGAGTGAGCAGCATCAATCCCAAGCAAATTTGTCGTCTAAATAATCTGTAATAGTGTAGTAAGCCTTTTCACATAGTTTTAGCTTTACTAAAGACTTAAATTTATTAATACTTAATTCATGGAATTTGCTTGGCACTTTATTGTAATATCGCACACCCTGACAACGAAAAGACTTGCTTACTTTTTGTAGTCTAGTGGTTGGTAACACGAGTTTATCTTTATTTCTAGTGTTTATTTTATGCATGTCGCTTACCTTGTGAATAAATGATTATTTTTCTTTACATACACTAAATTTTCATATATATATTGAGATGCGACTGTCATGATACCAATTTCTTTAAACTTATCCCTCAGTGACTGCCTATAACTAAGATTATAAATTGCACGAATAGCTCTCTTTTGCAACACAAAGATACTTTGAATGTCAGCAGCATTTCCCCACAACAAAATACCGTATGACATTACACTATGAAAATAGCTAAAATACACCAGTCTAGCTGTTTCTACATCGGTTAATTGACGAATTTTGTAAACCGCGTATGCTGCAGAGCTGAGTCTATTCGACAATCCGTCAATGTGTGGGCCCCATTGCAATTTAGAGTCTAGTGTTATACCTAAAAACTTGGTGGTGTCCACAAGATCCAACTCCTTTCCATTTATTAGAACATTGGTCTTTACCTGCTTAACATTAGGTGTAAAGAATCTAATACATTTCGTTTTATTCTCGTTTAAAAGTAAATTATTAACATTAAACCAGTTCACAACCTTAGAGAGAGTGCTATTCACGTCATCAGTTACTGATTGCTGTCGTTTAAGTTTAAATAACAGTGAAGTGTCATCCGCAAATAGTACCATCTCCTGATTATCATTTATCACATTAGGTAGGTCATTTATGTAAACAAGAAATAAAAATGGGCCGAGAATTGAGCCCTGCGGAACCCCCATAGTGACCAGAGACCCCAGGGATCTCTGTCCATTAACTTCCACTCTCTGGATCCTATTACCCAAATAAGAGATAAGAAGATCCAAAGCAGTGTTCCTAATCCCATAGTAATGCAATTTCCTGATTAATGTTTCATGAAAAACGCAGTCGAATGCTTTAGATAAATCACAAAAAACACCCAGGGCATCCTGTTTATCCTCCCAGGCACTAAATATATTTTCCAAAAGTTCAACACCGGCATCACTTATCGAGTGACCTCTTCTGAATCCAAACTGTTTCCTGTGTAGAATTTTGCTTGCACTAAAGTGAATTTAGAACTACATATATGTGCCCTGTTGACGTAAACAGGCCCTCCCCAATTACGTTTGGTGGACTAAAATTATAGTCAGCAAAATGTATTCGTGTTATACTCTAGACCCCTGGGTCTAGAGTATAACACGAGCACACTCACGTTTTTAAGTACTCTTTACTCCTGAGTAAAGAGTACTTAAAAACGTGAGTGTATGCATGTTTATAATAGATTTTAAAATATTAATTGTTTGCCTGCAAATTGTGATTTAGGATATCGGTTACAGAGGCAGGTCGAGATATCGCGAGTTTGACCCGCGTTTATAAACAAAGCCTCAATTATGTCAATATTATAAAGATCAATGCTTGATTGTTTGAGATTGACACGCTTTGTTACGCTGAGAGTAAGACGTGAACTACGTGAGGTCACAGTTCTTAAGTATTTATTGGGGTTTTTTGACTAAATGTTCCTTTGTTTTATCTGAAGATATAGAATAATTATATGTTGATATACCACAAAATACTCACCTAGTTTGGGGAGCAGAGTCAGTACATTTTAGTAAAATACAACAACATTGTTTTACCTTATATAAAATTATAATATGTAACTTATATATATTATATATAAGTATTCTATCAGTCAATCTAGTGTTCATAGTACAAGCTGTTTAGTTTGAAATTAGATGGCGTTGTGTGTTAGATGTCCTAAAACATTATTATTGAATATATGTATATTAGTATATAAAGATATTATAATAAGCCGAGAATTAACCCCATCAATAGGTATCATACCTGATGTTTTGAGCTGGTTGATCATTCTGTCTGACAGACAGTCATAGTCTGACGGTCAGCCTGTGATCACAGCCAGTACGTCTGTGTGACTGAGACCGCGTGCAGTTTGTATCTTCAAAGGACTACATAACATCAGTCACTACTTTAGACCACTTGGTTTAATTGGTTCTTGCTTTCAAATAAACTTATTTTCAACAACAAATACCAGACCTTACACAAGCTGCATTCTCTCAATCTGTTCCCGACTATTCGTCCCACATGGTGGTGGTGTCAACCCTGTCCCTGACGTCTTCTTTGGAAACATTACATGCTTTTATGCCTCTCCGCAACACATCTATCCATGTGGTCTTGGTGTGCACCGAGAACGGACAGTTCTAGTGCTTCCACTCCCAGACTTCTTCAGGTAATGAGCGAATCTCGTCCATCCTGTATACGCTGCATGGAAAAGGAATGGTATGGATATGCCGCTTTACATGAACTGCACGTATAAAAAAATATAGAGCTGAATTTTTATCCTTTAATTTGCCACATTTAGAGGTTTTCTTCAAATTTAAACAGGACCTTGACATACAGAATTATTTACTTCGACTTATAATTGGCAAAAATATTGAGTAACACACACGCACAATAATAAATCAAATCAAATTGAGAACATCCGCCTTTTTAAGTAGGGCAAAAACTTCATCTAGATATATGAAAAACTAGCTGATCCGCGCAACTTCGTCTGCGTCTCTCAATAGTAATAAATTTTCTCCGTTTTTGAAACATTCTTCATTGGTGCTCCGCTCCTATTGGTCTTAGCGTGATGATATATAGCCTATAGCCTTCCTCGATAAATGGGCTATCTAACACTGAAAGAATTTTTCAAATCGGACCAGTAGTTCCTGAGATTAGCGCGTTCAAACAAACAAACAAACAAACAAACTCTTCAGCTTTATAATATTAGTATAGATAGATGCAAAATCGAACGAACGAAAATACATTAATACATCTATTCCTTCAACAGGTTCACATCTGCAGATCGCCTTAAGAAATTTGGCCAGCCCAACAGCACAGAGTACGCAACTAAAGTGTCTCGCTACCGCAAGTGGACGATACAGTCTTTGTACAACCTAACCTGCAAGTTCATCGCTTCCCTTAGGGAACATTGGCCGAACTTTCCCGCAACTATTGCCTGGATTGTACAGCAGATGGTACATTTACTCAAGCAACATTCCAGGTATCGTATGATGCAAAAAGAAATGTTTTGAATATATAACAAATAAATTTTGAACCTTGAGTGGTCAAATATAATAGGACCGTAAATAAACAGAGCCCAGTTAGATGTATATTCTAGACGTATTATTTGTTCTCAGCTCTACGCAGCCAAACCTCTTCAATTTGTAGAAAAAAAGTTGCTTAAAATTATAAATTAAAAAAAACTTTAAGATGTCGTTTCAGATATATCAATAAGTAATGATAATCAATATGAAACAGAACTATTAGATTAAAAAAAGTATTTTATTTTTCAACATAGTCTCCTTGCAAGTTAATACATTTAGTGTATCTTTTTTCTAAGCCCATGATTCCCTTAGAAAAAAATTCTTTGTCTTGACCCTCCCAAAATGCCTCTACTGCGGCCATCACTTCACTTTTGTCCTCAAATTTGTTGCCCCGGAGGTGTTCTTTGAGCCGAGGAAAGAGGTAGAAGTCACTGGGAGCTAGATCTGGCGAATAGGGAGGGTGTTCGAGCAGTTCGAACCCCGTTTCTTCAATGGCAGCCATCGCAACTGCGGCTTTGTGAGCCGGGGCGTTGTCTTGGTGAAACAGCACTCCATCGCGCAGTTTACCGCGTCTTTTTGCCTTAATAGCTTCTCGCAATCTTCTTATTTGGCCTGCGTAGTAAGATCCTGTTATAGTGGCCCCCTTTTCCAAATATTCCACCATAATAATTCCTTCTGCATCCCAGAAAACAGACGCCATAACCTTTCCCGCTGAACTTGACACTTTGAATTTCTTCGGCGTTGGTGAGGAAGCTCGTTTCCAAGTCATTGATTGTTGTTTGGTTTCGGGATCAAAGTGGTGGATCCAGGTCTCGTCCATGGTCACAAAACGCGACAAAAAAAATTCTTTATCGGCCTGGAACTTTTGAAGATTCACCCTCGAAATGTCGACTTGTTTCTTTTTTTGCTCGTCGGTTAACATTCTCGGTACCCAAGACCTTTTTCATATGCATTTTGTTGACAATGATTTTTTGAACGCTGCCATAGGAGATCCCTGTGACCTCAGCTACATGCCTTACGGTCACCCTTCGATCGGCCAACACGATATCTTCCACTTTTTTGACATTTTCTCCAGTAAGGGACGTGGAAGGGCGTCCCTCGCGATGTTCATCTTCAGTGGAGGTTCTGCCCAGCTTAAATTCCTTTGCCCAGCGTACGACTGTGGAATATGGAGGAGCAGACTCCCCCAATGTTTCCTCTAAGTCGCTGTGTATGTCTTTGGTAGACATTTTTTTCAGGCAGAGGTACTTGATGACAGCTCTTATTTCATTTTTCTCCATTTTGATGTTTTCTCTTCGACAGTTCGTATTCAAATGAATGTATCTCCCGGTAATGGTGTCCTATTTATACATTTTTTTGAAGCTGAAGTAGTGGATATATAAGCAAACAGAAAAAAAAATAATTTGGGTTTTTGTGCGTTCTAGAAATACTCGATTATCATTACTTATTGATCACCCCTCGTAGGTATACACAACAAAAATTATGTTTATTTATTTTTAAATTTATTAAATTCCTTTTTTATTGAGAAAATTTATATTAATTTTTACTCTCTTTTCACTCTCTTTTTATTTTACTATTGAAATAAGCATATTTATAACAAACAGATAAATATTTGCATTTAGTTGCTGTGTCGTCCATGTATGTGTGGTATAGTAGGTCAAAACCTCCTCTCTCAGCATAGTAGACTATTAGAGGCTGTTGATGATGATTTAGTTGCGTCATCTGAAACCATGATGACCGTTCAAATTAACAAACATTAAATTAATACACTATCTAATGCATTTAGGCAGCATATAACAATAAGAGTTTTCTTGCCAACAGAACCTCAGACCGAGAACTCCACGCTATAGTAACGGACCTCGTGTTGAACCACTTCATTTGTCCAGCAATAGTGAACCCCGAGGCGCACGGCGTGGTCGAAGTGCCGGTCTCATACATTGCACGATTCAATCTCATTCAAATCGCACAGATTATACAGATGCTGTGTCTTGCCAAGTATCAAGAGGTATACAAAAATGTAGTCTATCAAATGCTTTATAATCACGGTTAAAAAGGACGTCACCTAATTGATAGATAACCTAGAGACTGCGGCTGCTGCGATGCTCTTTTATTAAAACCAGTTTCCCTGATCTCTCCTATTTTATGCGTAGCCTATAACACCGAGTGGTTTTGGTTGGTTCGATCCCCATCGAAAACCCCGTTAGGGTAACGGTCCGAGGACACTGTAATCAACAAGAGCAATGTAGTGGTTGACGTAATGGTTACTCGAATTCCGTTACGGTTACGGGTTCGGACCCAATATGTATATAATAACTTACTTATAAAAAGATATTTGTTTTAGTTGGTTTTCTAAATATTTATAACTTAATTAACGTATATAACTTTCACTTTTCAAACAGGTGGAGGCCAAAGTGCGTGACGTGTACGTGAAATTCGAGCGTTCATGCGTTTGGACGCTGATAGAGAGCGTGATGACGGAGGCGTGGGCGCCCGTGCCGGCCGCGCCTGCGCACACGCACGCCGAGTCGCAGCTGCGCACCGACGCGCAAATCGACACTACTGTGGCGCTCTTCACGCCCGCTGATGCGCATCTATTGGTGAGTGGGACAACATTATCATCATCAGCCCTTAACAGTCCACTGCTGAACATAGCCCTCTCCTTAGAAAGGAGGCTTTGGCCTACTGTACCACACTGGTCAGACGGGTTGGTACAGGGTTTGTTTCAAGTTTTGTTTTGTTTCAGGATATAGTATGATATTTTTTTTCTTATTTCAGATAATGTTTCTGAAACGAATATCATCCAAATTGAATAACAACACGCCGAGCGTCACGGCTGACGAGCAGTCCACCAGCAGTTCTGTAACCGAGGCAGGGGCATTTAGGTATACCAATGATATTTTCAATACGTTAAGCGAGCTTATATTCACTGTTATCTAAATAATTGTCGTGTACAGTATAGCTTCCCATGACTACAGGTATAGATGTTCCGTGTCTCAAAATTTTATATTAGGTGTATATGTTTAAAGCACACAATTTTATTTTTTTACTTGGTGATAAGAAAACTAATGCATGCGATAATTAATTACAGTAATTATTTGAAAGATCCTAATATTATGTTGGCAGCGAATCCAGCAGCGAGGGTTCGAGCACGGGCGAGGTGCACGCGGGGCGGCTGGCGGCGCTGCTGCAGACCAACGAGCCCAACTACCGCAGCCGACTGCACGACCTGCTCAAGTACATGCCCGACCTCACTAAGTACAGGTGCACTTGCTATTCCTTACTTTTAGTTTGCATAGATTACAGCGACTTTTTATCTCTCTATTCCGAGGCACTGATTCTTTTAGCGACATTGACTTCTCTTTTATAGTATAGGGTTCAAACGAGCTGACGGGTCACCTGATGGCCAGCCTTCCCCCCTCTCTATTAGGAACGAGCTGACCCGCGCAACTTCGTCTGCGTCTCTCAATAGTAATAAATTTTCTCCGTTTTTGAAACATTCTTCATTGGTGCTCCACTCCTATTGGTCTTAGCGTGATGATATATAGCCTATAGCCTTCCTCGATACATGGGCTATCTAACACTGAAAGAATTTTTCAAATCGGACCAGTAGTTCCTGAGATTAGCGCGTTCAAACAAACAAACTCTTCAGCTTTATAATATTAGTATTAGGAATATATCATGTGCCGCGGGGAACTTTACAGACATACATGAAACGGACGGATGTGTCCGTTTAATGTATGTTTGTAAAGTCCTTTATTCCTAGTGCGGGAGTTGTCTTTAAAAAAAAACCACTACGCCATCCGTGCAGTCAACAATTGCTTAACACTAGTTTTCTGATTGACCGTGGCAGTACTCCGGTCGATCCTAGTCCTGATATGCCGAAGCATGACTTTCCTATGGTAAGTGGTGACTACAATAGAGACATCACTGAAATTAAAGCATATGCATTTTTTCTTCCACAGACAATCTTCTCCTACAGAATCGAAAGAGCCTTCTCCGATTGAAAACGGTCACTCTAGTAAGAAATCCATTCTTGCTAAAGTGCATAAACCGCGATTACCTCGATCTGCCAGCTCCAACTCTTCACTGGCAGCTGTAGCTGACGACAGACCAGTGAATGGAACTAGTAAGGATGACAGCAGTCTGGAGCAGTTGGATGTGCTGGTGATAAAGTTGGCGAATGTTGAAGAGCATGATTATGTGGGTGAGTGATAGTTGGATTTAAAACTGTATTTTGACCTTAATAAGTGTGGGCATTCTAAACCTAAGAAACAACTGAGGGAGAAAACGTCGCAGGACAACAGCACTGCAAAGAGAAGAAAAACTTGACACAAACCCTATAACAAAATGTCTGGCCAGAGTGGTATAGTAAGCCAAAACCTCCTTTCTAAGGAGAGGCCTATGTCCAGCAGTGGACTATTAGAGACTCTTGATGAATGACTCTTGGTAATAATGTACATAGGGCAAACAAAATCTCTATTGAAGTTTACTTATGCATATGAGTTGTAAATAACTCATTACTTGACTCATACATTTAAATTATTAGTTTCAAAATAATCCTAAGTTCAATAGTTTCTATTCTTTTAGTAGTCATTCATTAAAATAACAAGTACTTAGTAATACTGATCAGATATTTCGTTTGTCGTGTATACTATTTTTAAAGTGTATGCCACAATGAGACTTTCGGAGACACAACAAATAAATAATGAAACGAAATGGCAGTCTCATTTTATAAATAGTATTATCATCTGCCGCCCAATTCAGTGGTAAGAAGTTTAGCGGTTTCTTTCATTGCCTGATAATTTCTTTAATTAAGACACTGTATTGAATTGTTATTAGGCCTGGTGCCAGAATCGAAGGTGCTAGAATGTTACTATGGCGGCTCTGAAGCTGGTGATGCAGATGAAACTGGCTCTGCCCTCGCTGTGGCGGGTCCCGGCGCTCCTGTGCAGAAGAGGACTAGGTTTGTCACAATTATATGCTTAAATAATGTCCACTTTTGTTCCCATATAATTATTCGTATTCCTATCTACAAATTTTCGGCAATTGCTCAGTTCAGACTGCACGGATGTCGTTCTAACACAGATTAGTTATGAATGATATTACAGAAATAATTGAAAACTGATAAAAATAAGTTTATTTTAGGTTCTCGGTTTCTCACGACGAGGTTTCTTTGGGTAATACGTCAGACAATCTGGAGGCTGTCTCCGAAGCCGCTTCGAACCATAGCGTCACATCAAGCCTAGAGTTGGAGACAGAAGATCAGAACGACAATCTCTCTGACATGGTGATTACTACATTTTGATAGTTAATCATCGAATAGATAACTACGTACCATTTAAGGAAATATATCGCACCCTCGGTGCAACAAAGTCACAACAGGTCATTTTGTAATTTTACAGGAACGGACTTTTAAGTTTTTTTTCGATCAATTTTCCTTTTTTCTAGATTACGACCTACAGCAGCCGGGATATCTCATTAAAATTATATTATTTGTTCTTTTAACTACAGTATCATGTAAAAAGATTTCTTTGATTTTATTATAAAATTGAAAAAAAGGAAACAAAAAAAAAAGTCGTAACTTGTGACTATGTTGCACCAGGTACAAATATAATTTAATTATTTGAGCGTTATAATGGCACTTTGTTATTTCAATATACGTGAATAAAAATTGTCATTAATACCTTTAATCTGGTGTAGCTCCAAGTCACGACTGACTCACGCGGGCGCTGGGTCACTACTTACCAATTATACTCTGTTCTCCCAATATTCGTCGAAAAAGTAGCAAGAACCGCAAAGGCATTAATGCCATCTATCGATATATTCAAATACTTTCGCGGCTATATTTGATTTCCCAAACGAAGAAATGGTTTATAGACAATTTGGCATACATAAGTCATTTTGGCAATTTTGCCTACTTGTGACTTTGTTGCACCGAGGGTGCGATATAATATTATTTAATTTAAAAAAAAATAGTTTAAAAAAACTAAGAAACACGCAAAAAAAGCGTTGGGTGCCTGTTGTCAAATTTATTAAAATTTATTTTCAATTTTTTAGTTTGGTTATCTATAAAAAGCGTGTTATTAAGTTTTTTAAAAGTTTTTTTTTTTAATTAGTGTATTGTCATCGGTCCTCGATATATCTACAAAGTTTGAACGAATTTTGACCGTTTAAAGTCAGTCAAAATCACACCCAAAGGAGTCGGTTACAAACAAGCATACAAACATACAAGTGAAGCTAATATAAAGCGTGTAACAACACTTACTATATCTTCTCAGTTATAATGTGTTCATAAATTACAGAATGAATACCACGGAGTTAACATTGATGACGGATCATATTTATATAAGTATTTCCCTCAATAAACGTTACTTTTTAATAGTATTACTTAAAATCAGCCTTTATGTATGCTTGCCAAAACTTCATAATATTGCGTAATTAACACCATAATGCGAGAAGCCCAAAATCGATCTAAGTGGCGTGCAATGGGAGAGGCCTATGTCCAGCAGTGGACTGCGATAGGCTGATGATGATGATGATGATGAACACCATAATAGTGTTTGTAATAACTATAGACATTGAAATAGAGGTGGGCCGCGAATACAACGAGAGGAGGGCCGCATTATTCGCTTCCAACTTATACGAAAAAAAAGTATGCCAATATTTTTACTATATCCTCGACGTAGAAAAAAATTATACGAATAATCAACACAATGCTTTAGTCCGATCTGTGTTCAAGTTACATATTTTAAATATATTTTACTCTTATAGTGGAGCCTTTGAAAAAAACATATAATAATTGCTTAGGTATCGGCCAACGTAAGCGGTCGTGGCAGTCCCAACATCTCGGGGCGGGAGACACCTTCCTCGCAAGTGACTGATGGAGATGCAGCTGGAGACGCGCAGAACAGGAGGTGAATTAAATATTTCTTTATATTGAATCTGATTTGTAAAATAAATTATTTTCTCTTTTACAGTTCAAAAACTATTCAATTAGTGATGAGCTAAAAGTTGCCGATTCTATTTAAGAGTTAGATTTAATCAATTGTAAACAAGCTCGTTTCTTTTCTGATGGTAAAAAAGTTGCCGAACTCCGAATGTTTCTTTACACTTTAGTAAGTTCGAGTTTTTTTAAGCTTTTATCGAACACTAACTACGCAGTCTAATTACTAGTCAAAATTAGTTCATCGAAAGAGTTCCACATACACTCAATAAAATCTTAGTTACTGTTACTTTAGCCTATAACTAATGCCTGTGTTTAGGCTTCCTCAAAACGTGCCTGTGAATCAAGCGGCAAGCGCTCAAGCCAAAATGATGAAGCAGACACGGAGCGACATCGAGGATAAGTTCTGCAGATTTGAGATTAAGGTAAATTCATCATCATCATCATCAACGGCCTATACTAGTCCACTGCTGGACATAGGCCTCTCCTTAGAAAGGAGGTTTTGGAGGGTTTGGTAAATTCAATCATTCTTAAACAATTGTAATAATTTTCGTCAAGGAAAACAGTCGCTTGAGATTGTTTTAATAAAAAGTTCATAATATAAAAATTTAATGTAAATTTCTCTGCTCTGCATCACCAAAAGGTTGACTGGAAGAAAATGCCTATGGCATTAAGTCCGCCGTTAACATGACTTGGTCAACAAGATGCGCCTGTTGGTCTAGTGATCAGTGGCCCTGACTGCTAAGCCGGAGGTCGTGGGTCTATTCCCACCCATGACAAATAATTGTGTGATGAGCACGATCATTAGTTCTGTGTCTGGGTGTACTTTATCTATAATATGTATGTATTTAGAAATATATAAGTATGTTTATCAGCAGTCTGGTTACCATAGTCCAGGCTCTGCCTAGTTTGCGTCTGATCGCAAACTGTGTAAAATGTGTGAAAATATTATTATTAATTAATTCATACAATAGTGTGCTGTAATTGCCTTATTTCTTTACCATCTCCGGGGAATGGCTTTTACTAATATTAAAAATGTAAATATGTTATCATGGTAAATTTAACTTTTGCTGCAATAAAGGCTATATCTCCACCAGAAATTGTTGGAAGGCGACGAGACGATCAGCATAATGTCGGATACTTGGAGCACGGACGTGTTGGCCTCCGACTCCGAAACTATTGGCGACTCCTGCGAACAGACGCAGGTCGTTGCCAGTCAAGGTTGGTAGCGCGTTTTGTAATAATAATAATATTCAACATCACATCACACCACATCAACAGCGTTTAAGAGTCCACTGCTGGACATAGGCCTCTCCTTAGAAAGGAGGTTTTGGCATACTATACCACGCTGGCCAGACGGGTTGGTATAAGGTTGGTGTCAAATTTTCCTTCTTTTTGCAGTGCTGGTGTCCTGCGTTGTTTTGCGCCCTTAGTCGGCTCTTGTGACACCCACGGCATGAATTGGGATAGTGACATTCCGTATTCTTACAATTCAACATAAAACTAGTATAAGTTACACATTAAAGATGAGATAGCCTCCGTTGCTACATTAGGTAAAAACCTGTATTTCGGCTTACGGCGCCATTCCAAATAATTTTAACTTTACTAGCATAGACAGATTACGTTCGTTATATAAAGTAAGTGCAATGATCGTTATGTTCGTTAAATAAAGTTCTGTGTTTACTGTTTTATCTTCATAACTCATTTCTACGTACTGGGTGTTACTTTGTTCTTTTTATTTCCTAGTTTTAGAGGATATTTTCTAAGTCTTTGTTAAATAATAATTGCGGTATTTTAATATTACAATATTTCACTAAGCTTTTATAGTTTACCCGTTACCCTTTAAAAAATAGCACGTCTGGCCAGCGTAGTAGGCCAAAACCGCCTTTCTAGGGTCGAGTCCTATGTCCAGCAGTGGACTAGTAAAGGATAATGATGATAGAAAAATAGTGACGCATTGATCAACCCCCGCTTCTTGACCAATTATGTTATGACTCGACTGGTCAAGGTGTTAGACTTGTTCGATGTGTCACTATTTTCTTAACGCGAATGGATTACAGTCAGTGGTTAGAGAATAATAATAACAATTTATGGTTTATCCAGGCACTAGTAATAGTAACACAAACGCACCAGACGTATCCGAAACAGCCAGCGAGTCTGCGTGGAGCATGGACGTACTCGCTTCAGACAGCGATCGCAATACTGAGGTATCTTGTTCTACTACGATTATATTTCCACTTACAAGAAATATATATTTATTTCCGCACCCAGTTCATATAGGTATTTATAGTGTGACTATGAGGGAAATTGCTTTTCTCCTGCAATAATGCGGGTATGCGCAAAATCTCTTTTTCGTTAACCCTGATTTTATCTTTCTCCATTCTATTTCCACACTCTTTCTCCAGGCCTGATTAGGCATGGTGTGAATTCGGGGAGGACCTGAAATAACATGGTCCAGGTCCTCCCAGAGTATTGTACCTGAGGCCGGCCGTCGGGGTGGTTTTTAGTGGAATCACCACATACTCCTGGCTCCTGAGATAAGCGAAAGATGGTACAGTTATTGTGAATTTTATAAATGGAAATTGATGTAAATTAGACTTAAGACAAGCTTAGCAAGAGTTAAAGGAGGTATTCTAATAGTAATATAAGAGAGGTTTCGGTGAAGTAAGTAGTGAAATGGAGAAAGATAGAATCAGGGTGAATGAAAAAAAGGTTTTGCGCATACCCTAAATTAAGAGATTCCTGCCCTAAGAGGGCAGGAAGGTGATGACGTGTAAATATTATATACTTGATAAAATTAAACAGTTATAATAGAATAAAGGCGTGTTTCTGTGCAGGTGGACACGGACGACTGCGTGTCGGTGGCGGCGCGCTCGGACACGTCGTGGCCGCGCCGCCCCTCGCAGCAGGACGACGCGCCCTCCTTCAGGCCCAGCCACCAGGTACCACCGCACTCACAGACTAAAAGGATCCTTTAATTCTTGTATTATACACTCGAAACTTACCTAATATGCTGTACTGTACAAAACAGGCCTCCTCTTTTTCAAGGTTTATGTATGTGATTTTTTTTCCCACCGTAATTTCTAAATCTCTAAACAGATTGAATGCATGCGGTATCGTTTGAATCATAATCGATCACCATCAATCTTAGATCATCCCAAGTAACACTGGATATATTATATGTATACCAGCTGACCCGGCAAACGTTGTTTTGCCACATACATTATTTCAAAATTTTTTGACAAAAAAAAAATGGTGTATGAAAAATAGATGTTGGCCGATTCTCAGACCTACCCGATATGCACACAAAATTTCATCAAAATCGGTCGAGCCGTTTCGGAGGAGTTCAACCACGCACACCGTGACACGAGAATTTTATAAATTATATATTGTTTCATACTGCTTTATACGCAGTATATCATAACTAATCATAAACTGTTATTTCAGAACGGCAATGCGAAACGTTCAGAACTGAACAGCCCCCGGCATTCCTCCCGACCGAACTTGCCCAACAGGTCGGGCGGTGTATACCTTAGCGCGACTGCCACCCTGTCTCGTGGAGGGGAACTGGATCTATCGCACCCACCGCAGAGTCACACTCACTATAATATAGAGAACAGAAAGAGCATATTAGTTAACGGATATCCGGTACGCCACAAGTTTCTTATTTTATCTTTAGTATATTATTATGTAGTTTATTTTTAAATATATTGACAACCGGATGGCGTAGTGGTTTGTGTAACAGACTGCTATTCCAAAGGTTGCGCGTTCAATTCCCGCTCAAGTCGACATGCATTCCTATGCATAATATATATGTATTTACAAAAAAAAAGTATGTATGTGTTTATATCAGTGATCTAGTACCCACAGTACAAGCTCTGCTTAATTTGGGACTAGATGGCGTTGTGTGAATGTGGTAGAATATTATTATTATTTGTGAGGTGAATGAGCAGACGAGTCACCAGGATGCTAAGTCACTACAATGGACTTCTGCACTTTAAGTGTTCTAAGAACGTTGCCGCCTGTTATAACATCACTATTTAGTAGATTAATATGTCGCGTCACGTATATGCTTCCCTATTCATTGTTCCTCTATCTGTGATACTGTAAACTATATCTAGTCAATCTAACAAGTTATTTTATTTACAACAAGGATTCCCAAACTATTTTGGGCAAGAGACCACCTTTCCAAAATTAACTGATACCTAAGACCCCATAGCGAAATTACTTTATAAATCCTATCTCATTTTTTTCCTATTGATACAAAATACTTACCAATTTAAAAACTTTGCCGTTGGTTAAGCTAGTTAACTTGACATTTTTTTCTCATCATTTTTACAAATAAATAGACCAGTCAGTCTTATAATAAGTTGGTATACGTAACACAACTAATAGAGTATTTTATCGCGAACTTATGTTAATTAAAAGGGGTCGATTTTTATACCTCGTCGACCCCCAAAATCAGTTTTTGTTTATGTCGATCCGATTTCGACCCTAAGGGGTCGACTACTTTGGGAATCCCTAATTTACAAGAACCTAAACACCACACGGTGTAGCATACAAAGATAATACCACACTTTGAGTCCGTTCCCTCCATATTCAGGGGGGAGGGGCGAGTTATTGGTCTCCGATAACCTCACTCGCTTGGTGTAAAGCAATGAAATAGCTTAACACAGGTTTCCTGTGAGGCCGTGTTATCATTCCGGTCGAGTCGGCTCATTAAGTGCCGAAGCATAGCTCTCCCACGGTAGATTAATGATTATTTCAAAAAAAATGACCATCTGTAAAGTAATAAGAGGTAGTAACCCAGTTGATCTCTCCTCAAATGGATTTGTACTACAGTGAGAAGTACCAACCAACGCTACTGACATTAACAAAACTCCATTTGAAAGATATGGTTTGTAATTTACAAGGTGTATTGCAAGGTAGTGCTAACAGCTTAGCATCAAATAGAAAACGTGTTTTTTTGCCAACTTAAAAAAAAATTAGCACCAGATATTTTTTGTACAATATTCAGATTTTAGTACAAAAATATTGTTGATATTTTTAGGTGATGACGTGCTACGCAACATCAGCTCCAGAGAGTCCGAGCACCTGTCCTCCAGTGCCGCTGTCTAACGATGTCTTTGATTATATACCACAAGAGGGGTTAGTAACATAGAATAAATAAATATCCTTGAATATTCTTATTATCTAATTTTAAAGCCAAATGTCAATTTATATGTTAATTACTACCTGGAACCCGCGACTTTGTTCGTATGAAATTTGAAAAGTTTTGCCTTAGTCTGTTCGATTCCCGGACCGGGCAAAATTAAGTAGGGTTTTTCTGAGATAAAAAATAGCCTTAGATACTCCTTTTATACACAGCTACCTGGTAATACTCAAAAACTTCTGCACCGATTAAGCTCAAATTTTGACACTATACAACCCGCTTCAAAGATTGTTTGAAGAGAGAATGCAATGCACAATGTCCCACTGAAGCGTGGCAGGCTGCAGTTAGTTTGTAGTTAAAATATTTTCAAAATTGGTCCTAATGTTTAGAAGATTACCCAGAACAAACAGACAGCTTTATAGGCATAGGTCGTGCAAATAACCGTGTAAGCATGAAAAAAACCTACTATTTTACATTACAAACAGGCACTTCAATTTTATTTATTTGTATATGTTTTTAAAGACATTTTAGGACGGCATTTAACTAGTACTACACAGGTATTTATCTTTCCAGACCAGAATAGTTCACATTATAAACATCCAATTTATATTCCAGCAGCAGCGCACAAACCGAATCAACATTAGACGCCAACAGCCAATCGGACGCCACAAGCCAGTGGGTAGACGACAGTTTCCCCGCACAGCACCACTCCCCCGACCGGCCCTACCCATCAACATCCAAATACGACCACCCATCCACATCCAAACCTTACGACGACAACGATCTAATGGATCGATCACTCAACTCGAGCGAGAGTTCTTTCAACGCTATGTACGGTCGATACGATTCAGGTATCGACACAGAGAGGCCCGAGGCTGAATCGAGATCAACTATCACGGATTTGATGACTCGAATGAGTTCGGCGACCATTTCCACTTCAGCTAACCTGGTAAATAATATCACTTCTCGAATAGTTAAGTCTGAAATTCGCACTAGTATAGTGAGTATTAGTTCGTCGAAAATCGAGAAGAAAAGAGATGGTACATCAAATATATCTCTGAGTACGTTGTCGGTGAATAGTGCGGAGACATCTGTGTCGGATAAGAGTTCTAGTCAGGATGTGAACTCGGAGATTGTCACAGAAAGGAGAGTGAGTCCGCCTCCGGTCAAGAATGTGTCTACGGGAGCGATACCGAAGAGTATTAGTTTTGATTCCACAGCTGAAAAATCGCAAAGGTTTGTGTTTTACTTTATTTAAAACATCTACATTCTAGTACAATAGGGAATATGCATGTATTTTTTTTATTTTTTTAAACGATTCTACTAGTTATTACATTACCAAAAATAAATATAACACATCCGAAATATAAACCGTCAAGCAAAAAAAAAATTATTAAAATCACTATCATTTTGGGGCAATTTGAACACGTCCATTTTGGCGCGCTTTTTTTGTGGCGTCAGATTACACTTTCAGACGAATTCGATGTCAACAACGGAGTGAAGTTCACAAAGTTTGTGAAAGTTAAAAAAGTGAGTGATAAAAATTAACTTATTACCATGGAAAAGCCAATAAAAACTTATTATAAATATTGTGCCGTTCCGTTGTGCCCAAATAATATCAAAACTGCACCTGACAAAGTATATTCAGTCATTGTGTTGAGTCTTTCTACACGGGAATTTAATAATTTAACACTGAAAACGTATTAGTTATTAACTTAAAATGAAACAAATAATCACCAGAAACCAAATATTACAAATACACACAACTTGTTGACACTCTTGACAGTGTAGGTTGACGTCACGTTTTATTCAACCAATAGCGTTGCGTTTTAGAAATTTGCGAGGGAATCTTAAAAAAGCCAATTTTTGATGATTAAATTTCACTATTAAATTACAATAAATTTCAAAAATAATTGTATGGGTATCTTTTTTTAGCAATAAAAATTACAAATAAAAATATTTTGTCCATTTTGGTGTCACGTGCATATTCCCTATTAAAATAAAAAATGGGTTTGTTGTTAAAAGATGTATAATGTGATTCCTTACCTCTTAGTCGAAAAATTATTTCCTTTTAAATGCAACTAAATGAATGGCCTAAGAAGTTATCAGTGGTTTAGAAGTAGGACTGATTTTATACTGATTTATTCCTTTTCTTTAAGAACAGCACATCACTATATGTCTTTAGATTGTTTAGTAATAATCTTAACGCATGAGATAGTTCGCATGAGATGGTAGTAGTATTACTAATCTCATAACAGGACCATCTTGAAAAAGGATTCAAAGAGAAGCACGATGTACACGTACTTGGATGACAAATACATGTCATCCAAGTTTTTATCTAGTTAAGGGATGTTTTCACTAAAAATTTTTTGGCAATTTATAGTAAATAACCAAGTTATTGTTCATCAGGAGACGCATTGGAGAAGACGGCCTTGTGGGCAATTTAGATGAACTGAAGAATAACGTAAAGCGTTCAGGTGGGAACTTGCTGCACAAAATCAAGATGTTCCGACAGAAAGGGCGTTCGCATCACCACCAAAACGGTAATAGCCTTTTTATATGAATGTGTAATTGACCATCAATATTACAAAGAGAATACAAAGATACACAGAGATACAGAGTATCGCTAGGCCTGGCCCACTCCACAAGTATTGAGTATTGGGTATTCTGTGTAATAAAAAGACAGCGGCATAGTCATCAATTAGTAATGGAATCGAACTTTACTAATAATTAGTGATTCTGTGTAACTAAATTTGACTTTTGAAGGATGGCGTAGTGGTTTAAGCCGTCGCCACGCCGCTCACTACTACACTTGAGTGTTGAGGGTCCAATCCCCACATGGGACGACACTTTGTGTGATCCACAAATTGTTGTTCTAAGTCTGGGTGTGTTCGTTTCATGTATGTTTGTAAAGTCCCCCCCGCGACACAGGATTTATTCCTAATGCGGGAGTTGTCTTGTCTTAGATTTAAAAAAAATAATTAAAGTTTTCACATGAGAGTTGCATAATTAACTAGATTGAAGCATTTACATGTACTAGAAGAGAACTTTTACTTCCTATTTCCACAACACAATAAGTTCACTTTATTTGCCACTTTTACTTATCGTAGAAATATTATACTCGTATTATGTAAAATTCTTTTATCAAGGAAATAGTATGTCTTCTCTAATTCAACTACATTAATTTATATAAGTATACTTTTTTCCACCATCTCAACAGGTTTATCCCAATACAATAATGGACTGTCTAAAAACACTAATGACCAAAATAAACTTGTAGAAACAAAAAAACTCAAACGTAACTAGTATCGAACTTAACTAAGTTAGAACTAAGAATTATTACAGGTCACTCAATTGACATGAAAATATGTCAATTCTATCGCTAACTTCCTTTATAATTCGTATAGAGCGGCTGAGAAGCGTTGTGTAAACCAGGTTGGTCCCATATTCCCTGTTTTGTTATCCAGACGTCAAACTCCCCGAGGAAGAATCTCGCAGTGACGACGGCTCACGCGACGTGGCCAGCGTTGAGAGCTCAGAGGAGATCCTCGCTAAATACCGACGGAAGAGTTCCGTCGAGTCCACTAACAGCAAACACAAGCGTGTTCAGCGACGTGTGTCTGACGTACAGGATATGACAGATATAGACAGGTACACCTGTTTTTTTTAATTTTTTTTTGTGCGGAAATCCCCTCGGATACCACCTATCGGTGCCATGTCGGACTCGAACCGACTAAAACCGCACGCCGTCTCGGGTACTAATAGCCGGGGAACCAGGTATACCCTAGAAAGGAAGTCCCTGGTGCCCCGACATACCTCGGGCCATCTACAACAACAGGTATACGACCCCTACCCATAGACAGGTATTATTATGCGTTATTCTTCATTAAGTATTATCATTCAATAAACAACAAAATTTCTTTCTTGGTTGGTCTCTTTAAATTTTTCTTTTAGTACAAAGTAAACTACTTTTAAGCGTTTTAGAATCATTTTATATCCATTTTTTATTAGTTTACCTGTGTTTTTTGTACTAAATCGTTGGACTTCCTTATGCTATTTTGGCGCTATTATACAATATACACGATAAATATTAATTTGTTAAGATTGCGTACGTAAACACTAGGTAGGTTTATTTAGTTGGGTTTTAGGAAGTTGAAGTGTTTGTTGTTTCGTCAATAATGTCAATGTTTTTAATTGGTTTTAATTATAGTATGTTGTTGTTTACAGGTGCGAAGGGGTAGTGGATTTAAACGATCCAGAGGTTTTTAATAGTATGAAACGCAAGTTACGTGTGGTACTGTCAAACCCTGATCTACAATGTTCTGATTACGTTCCTAATGTAAGTGATTTGCATGTTTTTATAAAGGAATTATTGGTGTTTGTGTACCTGTTTTTATAAGGTTTTTCTGATAGATGGCATTATTAGTAGGTTTTGACCGTGTTGGTGGTGCAGTGGTAGCGTATGCGACTGCTGTGTTGAGGTCTCGGGTCGGACCAAACAATTATATGAGTTGCAAATATTTGTTTTGGAGTTTGGGTGTTTTTTATGTATAATATGTATGTATTTACAAAAAGTACATTAGTATTCTATCAGTCAATTTAGCTTTCATAGTACAAGCTCTGCTTAGTTTGAAACTATGAGAAGATAGCGTTGTGTGTAAGATGTCCGAAAATATTATTTATTTTATTTATTTAGGAGCTGAAATAAGTAAATGTCAATCGAATTATATTTTTCGACATTTGTAAACATACCCTACACATTCATATTAGCCGATTCGTATCTGGATCTTGAAATTTTTTCGATAGAAATATCAGATTATAAGTCAAATTCTCGTCATTTGCCGGCAGTTTTATTCTTTTGTTTTAATTTGTTTGTGAAAGTTTTTGAAGATGCTGGATTGGAGGCATTATTATTTTATAGAACAAAATTGATGCGTTTGAGCCGAGTATTGACAATACAATGAGAGACACGATATAAAGTTGTTTTGTGGCATGGCAATGCTCGATCTTATGTCGATTAATCGTTCAAAACGCTTCTCGAAACTTAACATGGGAAGTTCTACCTCACCCGCCGTTTTTTCCATGGATCGTGGATTTCATCAAATATGACTGAAAACCGAAATATAGAAAAAAGTAGTAGTCGGCGATGGATAATATTTTGAAATATAAATCTGTCAATTTTTTTACGATAGTGCTATAAAATTTGAAAAAAGAGAGGCGGCGTAAGTTAAGTCGTCCACTATTATAGTGAACGTACTCGTTATAAAGCAACGAATGAAAAGCAGTCAAACGTTAGATAGATAGTTAGTGTCCCCGTGTCAGCCGTAGTGACGTGTGCGCGTACCCGCAGCGCTGCACGAGCACGTCGCTGGTGGAGTGGATCCGCTGGGCGGGCGCGGCGGGCGGGGGCGGCGCGGCGCACGCGGAGGAGCTGGCGCGCGCGCTGGGCGCCCGCGCCGCGCCGCTGCAGCGCCTGGCCGCCGCGCTGCGCGCCGACCTGGCCGCGCGCCGCCCCTACGCCGCCTACCTGGCCTCGTGCCGCGCCGCCGCCGCGCACCGGGACCTCGCGCTCGACAAGTAACCGCATATTTCCTTGTTTGTTCAAACGACGGCGAGCCGCCCCGGTCTCGCACGAGTATGGCCTCATTAGTTATACTAGTATTATCTATCTTTATATGCAATATTAGTACGGCGCAAAATGGCGACGGCCGCTTTGCGCCTGCATTTTAAACCTATAATATCTCAAAAAAAAACATTTAAATTAAACGCTGTAAAGAACAATTTAAATCTATACTAGCTGAGACCCTCAGTGTTACTCGCATTTGTTGTTATAACCGCAGGCCTAAGTTACTTCTTATGTCATCAGCTATCTGCCAGTGAAACTCCCGTCGAAAACTGTCCAACCGTTCCAGAGATTACCCGGACCAAACAGAGAGACAGACAAAAATTGTAAAAAATGTTATTTTGGCGTATGTACCGTATAAACATACATATGCATTTAGTAAAAAACGGTTATTTTAATATTACAAACAGACACTCCAATTTTATTTATTTGTATAGATTAAATGCACAACGTATCTAACGTGTTAATTGAATAAGAAATAATAATGTATTGTTCCTTAGCTTCATAAATACCCCATTATTTTTCTATAATATTTAAAAGATAAAAACTGTAGGTTTAGAAAAACTTTTTTGAAGGTACTTTTAAGATATACAATTTAATAGTACCTTATTTTGGTCTGCAATGCAATGCAAGCGTGCAAAACCAAATTTTTTAAGACAAATCTTTGAAATTTTCGAATTTTCTCTACTATAATATGCATGTATTATACATATAAACCGTTCTTTAAAAGATCTAAGCTTACAAAACTTGATTGTATGCTATGTAAAGATACCAATTTAAATATAGCATAGCGAAACTATAAAAGTAAGGTAAAGGTTAGAAAATCCAAAAAATTACATAAAATAAATTAATAACTTCTTTCTAGCCGTTTAATACGAATAAACAAGGAATACATATTTGTTGTTACACAGACAAATAAAGTTGGTGCGGTCGGAGTGGCAGTGGTGCTGCCGCGCCGCGGCGGCCGCGCGCGTGCTGGACCAGCTCGAGCGGGGCAGCGCGCTGCGGCGCCTGGAGCGTCACCACCACGCGCACAACAACCACGCCATGCTCAACGGTACCTTACACCAAACAACAATGGATGTTTGTTACTCGATCACCTCCAAATCATTCTGGGTCATTCTAGATGAATTTTAGCACAAAAATAGATTATAATATTAAATAGCAGCCTGCTACTCGTTAACCCAGAAAAGTAAATTGACAAAATCAACATTAATGCGAACAAAACAGCGGACACAGGATAATTACAAATGGGTTACGCCCAAGGCAAGAGTTGACCCTGCGAACTTAGGCTCAGCTATTAAAATCACTTACCACTTGACCAAGGACATGAAAAGCGTAAACTAACAAAATTTTATCAACGCAATGGAATTTCTTCCATACACATAAAAAACACATTCAAATTTTTCGCTAGATCAAAAATATATTCAATGCTAAAATTGTTTTTTTTTAAACAGAGGCCGACACAATTAAATTAACAGCCTAATTGGTTATTATTGAATATTTCCAATATTATTTTATGGTATTTACATTAAGTATTTTCTTTCAGGAGGAGAGTTAATGGATGAGAAAGCAACAAGACTGACTGCCGGCGTTAAAGCCATAACAGCTGAAATAAAAGCAGACCTCTCGTGGGAAGGTAAGTTACATAAGATAATTGGCAACATTTTACTCAATTTTTTTTCTGTCTCATCATCAATCTCATCAACAGCTTTAGATAGTCCACAGCTGGACATAGGCCTCTCCTTAGAAAGAAGGTTTTGGCATACTATATCACGTTGCCCAGACGGGTTGGTTTAAGGATATTTTTTGTTTTTGTTTGTTTTTTTTTGTGTCTATTAGAATATAATTTATAATTGTAATTAACTGATTGAAAATGAATACCCCTATTCCATAATTATATCCCCACTGGTAGGCATAGTTGGACTTTTGCCGTTTTTCGCTATCAGCAGGTATAAAAAGTTTCCAAGAATTTCTAAAAAACTACACAAGCATTAGACTTTAAACCATTGAGACCCCAAACTAGGTATATATGTGCTACGGAATATTGTTATCCAAAATGTACGAGTACAACTAGAACTGGTCATGGACCTCAAGGGTCAAAAGTTTTAAGTGACTTTAAAAAAGGATATGGTTGTTATTTCAGCAGTAATTTTTATTGTTGTTAGCTTTACATTGTACTGTACAATATATGGGATTATAATTTTATAGCTTACGTTGTGTCTAATGAAGTTAACTTTTTAATAGTAGGTTATAAGTATTGGTTTGTTTAAAGTATAATTGTTTTTACCTTTGATTTTTTTTTTCAATATTTATAAACATAACCACCACAGGGACCACCTAATTAATCATAAAAAGAAACCCCTTAAAACTTTTTGTCCCTAACGGTAGCTATAAACGGGAAAAAACAACTAGCTCAATCGGTGCGATCAGAAGGGATATGAGGAACAGAAGGTTCCATAAAAATTTCTTCATTTCTTAATTTTCTACCTTTAAAATTTTCTTAAAATTTAAATGACGGTCCATAAATAACGGATTTCATGGATAACAAAATCGAATTGAATCGTTGTACAGGTGCAACATCGACGATACTAGAGAGTGTGGAGATGACAGTGGAGCGCGCCGCGTTCGCGCGACTCTACCTACACGTGTTGTTCCCCAACGGTGAAGGAGACATCGCAAGGGATCAGTATGTAGTATTTTATGATATAACACTAAATCTAAAAAAAAAAAATTGAGAGTGTTCCTTGTTTGATTTGTAATTTTGTTTTTTTTTTTTGTATTATGATGGCGCATACGAACTTTAATTTTATTAATTGTTATCATCAACAGCCTTTCAATAGTTCACTGCTGGACATAGGCCTCTCATTAGAAAGGAGGTTTTGGTCTACTATGAATTTAATTTGATTTGATGAATTTTGTATGCATTCGTCGTTTGTATACATAATGTGGGAGAGCCATATTTCGGCATAAAGGGTAGTTTCAACCGCAGCGACGCGGGTGCAGGTGATCCGTCCGGGACCGTTTCAGTAAAACGGGTAGAGTGAGTAACGGTTGTGGTGATGGCAGGGTGCTGGGCGAGCACATCCGGCGCGTGTCGGCGTGCACGAGCGCGCGCGCGCTGGGCGTGGCGCCGGCGCACCGCTGGGCCGCGCCCTTCCCGCGCGCGCAGCGCCTGCTGCGACACCTCGCCGTCTACCGCACGCCACGGGACAAGGTGCTCACGTCGTTATATTCTTCGACATTACCGACAAACTTTATTTATGAAAAGAAAAATGTATTCTATACGATTGCACGGATGGCGTAATGGTTTAAGAGATCGCCGCGCCACTTCCTACTGCGCTGAGTGTTGTGGGTTCGATCCCCACGTGGGACAACACTTTGTGTGATCTACAAATTGTTGTTCTGAATCTAAGTTCTCTTTGTGTCCGTTTCATGTATTTTTGTTAAAGATATATATTGCTAATGCGGCAATTGTCTTATAAAAAAATAAAATAAGGTATTCCTTGCATTTTTATTATGCAATTTTATAATGGGATATTTACGGTATTTAACGCGCTCACGATAGGTATATGCCGGGAACACTACCATGGCCTCAGATTATGATGTATAATACATTTTTTTTATTTTGAAACTGTCGAATTTAAAAAACAATATTTACAAATAATGCGAACATTTCAAACAGAAAATCAATTCGACCGCCTTCTTGTCCGAATTTAAACGTAAACCCAGAGTACAAATCAATCAATTATTTGTTATTGATTGAGACGGTTCTGATATACGCTTCATCTTATAATCTGTTCAAAATTTAAGTACCTGATTTATCTATACACAAACATTACGATAGTATAATATAGGTACTAATTGTTTATTTAATTTCCAGTTACAATGTATAATGCGGTGCGTGACCTCGATAATGGCCGTACTTGGCCTGTCGGAGGGCACTACGCCCTCCGCGGACGACCTCACGCCTGTACTCGTGTACGTCATACTAAAGGTACTGTACACCTGTACACACTCAAACAGAAAAACTTGTATCTTCAGAACCTTTTATAGTTTCGTTTATTTCTACAGATCGAATATTACGTATTGTGGTACTCGAAAACATATCATTTTTAGTAATAAATGTTTATTTTTTAATATATATATTTAGTTATAACAGCGAGGGAGAACCGTATCAAAAATACCACCGTCCAGCATTTTATTAAATAATACTATGCTTGACGTGACATGCAATACTACTAAGTCACAATCTCACTAGCTGCAGGCTGGTGTTGCTTTTAAACCGGTTAGGTTAGGTTTATGTATGTATGTAATTAGGTAAATATTTATGTAGGTCATAAAAAGTGTTGGTACTAATTCTGTTGTTCAAAAACTCTCTAAACTAAACTAAAAATCACAAAAAAAAATCTAGTCCTGACAAATACTACGTTTTCAGAATAGGTAACGTTGTTTGATAGGACTGAACTAATTTTTAGGGCTTTTTACTTTAGAGAGTTTTTAAACAACAGTAAAGTACTATATAACATAGTAAAGAATTACTAAGACATGCAAATTACCGATTCAATTTTCATTTATAGTATGGTGTAATCACATTACAGTCAACTGTGGATGTTTAATAAATACCTTTTATGACAGTTGTGAGATCGAGAGTTGATCGGAACTGAATTGTGAACGAACTTTTATTACGAGAATTGGCCTTCCGTGTGATGCCGAACGATATTAAAAACTCCTAAATACCTCTAAAAAGTAAATCAAATAGATTACGTTCTCGATAGATCGTGTTATACTACAAATAACCTATGCAGGTGAACCCACCGTCGCTGCTGTCCACGATCGAGCTGGTGAACGCGCTGGGCGGGTCGGCGCTGCAGGGCGAGGCGCTGTACTGGTGGACGCAGTTCTGCGCCGCCGTGGCCTACATCAAGACCATGGACTACCCGCGCGCCGACAACAACGACACCTAGCGACCACACACGCGCCTGGTTTGTGTATATCCACTACTAGTCGTTAGAAAAATTTAACCCAGGATCCCAATTCTAAAACAGTCTTAAACGTGATGTAAGAGACGGTGTAACGAATACTGAAATAATGTATTCAGACCATCATTCAGAGTCGAAGATCTTTAGAAATTTCTGCAGACAAATGAAGTCTTATGCAATTAGCTGTCAAACGCTAAGGTCATTCCCCGTAGGTATCGCACAAAGGTAATAATTACATTTGTATTCCGTGCAAAACAGTCTACGTACACTAACAAAGTGACGACCGAGGGGAAGCCCCGCGCGCTTGGGCTATTTGATTAATTACATTGCAGTTATTCAAATGTTCTGTTTACTCATTGTAATTTTATTTCTAACCAAAAAAAAATGGAAAATTATTAAAAAACTAATTGATTGAAAAATTCCAATGATTTTCGAATCGAAATGATGGTCGGAATACACTATTTCAGTATTCGTTACACCGTCACTTACATCCTGTATATAACCTCACGTCTTTTATCCCTGGAGGAAAAACAGAGGCCTGTTTGAACACTCGTTTAATCGACTGTAATTTTATTCCAACTTTTATAAAATTACAATTACACACACACGGACGGACGGACACATAACTCCATTCATATGTGATCGAAAGCTGCATTAAAAAAATCCAGTCTGGTTTTCAATAAGCGGAATGAAAGTGAAAAGATTGTTAACAGAAAAAAAAACCTTAAGCATAAACCGTATGGCAGATGTTGTGTGTGCGTGATGATTGCAATGTTAGCTAGATTGAAATTTATTATCTGCTTCCGAAAGTCGTTACTTGTGTACATATTGCGTGTCATCACTTAAATGTAGGAAGTATTCAATCTATAGTCAATCAACGTCGTGCGCGACCGTCCTGCGAGGTGACAGACGGTGGCGGGGACGAGGTACTCAAGATGTCAGCGGGTAGCGGGTGGTGTAGCGGGGAAGGGAAACACTTCTCTTCGTGTGTAGCCGTGTGCTAGAATGACGCGCTACCTCGCCCCCGCCACTGTCTGTCACCCCGCGAGACGGTCGCGCACGAGATTGCCGGGTTATAATGTCTGTTTCTTGTTTCAGAATGGCGCGCGTTTCCACTATACACAATATACGATGTGTCATCGCGAGCGATGCCACACAATTTAAAAATAAAACGATACAGCACTCAATGCTAAACTTATTGATATATTAAAATCATAATATCAAATTATTTGGCAATTATAAAATATTAGCCTAAAATTGTATACCTGTATACCGAAATCGTATTTTTAAACATTGGCGATTGAAAAAATGTACGCGACCTGTTGTAATAAGGGACATTACACAACGATTATGCTTAATTATGTAAAGAAATGAACTGTGACGTCACTACTCTTTAATATAACTGTAAAGAGTGTGGCCATGTAAACATACTTAAATAGTATGCAGTAATTAGAACATTGTGAATAGTTTTGAAAAATCCAGGGAGGAACTTTAATCATTCATCTGTATTAGTTAAATTAGTGTAGGTGTATTATTGCTATGTCTATTGCCCCTTGCTAATGCGGCCCTGTGCCGGACAAAATGGGTTTATATTATTAAGTCACAGGTATTATTACTAGGTGAAAACATAAATTATTATGCAATAGGAATAGTTTTGTTTTACATCGAATTCAAGGTTAATGGTGTAAATTCTGGTCTATTTCTTTTTGATTTAAAAAAATATGACACATATTTTGTGAAAATAGTTGATTTAGGACTGTAAAAAATTCAATCATTCACTACATTTATTACATGGCGCGATATTTCTAAACACGTACTCCGGTAGTATCCATTAGTAGTTTAAAATTTCATGATTATGATAATGAATAGTAATTCCCATGGTAAAGATCACGAGACTCAACCTTTTTCGTTTTGAAGTCTAGTAATTTATGTAAAATAAAGCCTTCAATACTATTCGTTTAGTAAACATTATATGAGTATTACAGGCCTAAATTATTCGTTCTAAGCTGTTATTTAAACGATATAGAGTTTGAAAAAAAATCTATTAATATACCCAAATCCAATTATTATAATACTCATGAATGATTTTAAATTTAGAATAGATATTTATCTAATATTATTGTCTATATTAGCGGGGTCCATTGCCATGTATTTAATCATCGAGGCGTGTTAATTTGACGTGTCTTTGCTATCGATACGAACCGTCCACGCTCGCGTACATGCGTACGCGCATTGTTTAAGAATTACGAAACCCTTATGCAATAGTCGCGCTCTACTGTATAGAGACGTTTTAAATTTGTGCTTTATTGTTTTATCAAGTCGTCAATGTGAACCCAAAATTAATATTTTTGAAGTAATCGTCCTTGTTTAGAACTACAAAGTTGCTAATTCTGTTGTTCGAAAACTCTCTAAACTAAACTAAAAATCACCAAAAAAAAACTTTTGTCCAGTCAAATATTACAGTTTATGGTCAGTCAGAATATGAAACGTTGTTTGACAGAACTAAAATTTTTTTAGTTAGTAATTTTTAGTTTAGTTTATAGAGTTTTCGAACAACAGAATTAGCACCATTGTCGTATAACTGAACCACCGACATTCTAAATCATGTGATTGAAGTCAATCCATTATGCTTTTAAACTCGTTAGCTGCACAGTTTCGAAATTAAAATTAAACCTATTCTTATAGGGAATATAACCTGTCGACAATCTAGTCCCTTGCGAACCGCCATTATGAACAGTAGACCGGCGGTAGTTCGACATACGTTTTGCAGTGCGATCTCCTTATAATCCAGAACTTTTTGGAATATGTGTATATATACTTATTTTTGTGGTATAAGGGGCCATAGATTTTGCTGAGGGGGGCTTATGTCTCCTGAGCTGGCGGCGGTAATCACTTACCATCAGGTGACCCGTTTGCTCCTTTAACCCCTCAATACCATAAAAAGTGTGTAATTTCTTTTAAAAAACTTTTTAAAACGTAAAACAAGTAACAAATTCAAATACAGATCTTCAAATTAATTCACTCAATTTCATTCACTCACAACGAGATTAAACATGCATTAACGAAGATTTGTTTAGCAGCATAACCGTGTCGGATTATAACGGGCGAGTGGGTAATATCTACGATCAGTTGTAATATACATATTATACATTTATGTTTTAATTACCTGTTGAATAATCGTTCGATAAGCCTGTAGCAGTGTCGCCTCATCTCTGATATCCATTAAACTGTGATGTAGCATCGATACAGTGAAGTAAAGAACGTATTTTTTTTAAATGAGTGCAGGTATCTATAACGGTGTGATAATTATACATATTATAAAGAATAATAATATCGAAAGTAAGAAGCCGATGAGAATAATTTATTGCAAGTGTACATTTTATTAGATTTAGCTTGTGTAATATAGTTTTAGTAATCGTTAATGATCTTACGGAGCGGTTGGAAACGCTTCTCTATGTTAACTAACATAAGGTTTGTTTTGGATGTCCAGTTAAATGTTAAGACGGTGTAAAATGCTTTGATTATTTTTTTATTGGGTGTTCTAAAACAGGCTGTTGAAGGAATAACCCCATCGTCGTCATCATGTATCGTATGTTAATAGTTTGTAAGCTAAGCTCTAATACGTTATTAAGGCACCAGTTTATTTCGCACCCCTATTCAAAAGACACTATTTTTGAACTAACATAGCATGTAAAAATATATGTAACAATAATACCTAGTTGCTTGTAATCGATCAACAATAGTAGGCCCCGTCGTTATATATTAAACGATTATTGATGTAACGTCAGCTCTATGTATTTATTTATCAATACAATTATTTTTTTATATAGAATGGAGTCGGTCGGAAAGATGATTGGAAAAATTAAAAAAAGAAATCGTACTTTCAATGCAATGCAATTTTTTCACGCCGTCTCGGGTACTAATAGCTGGGGAACCAGGTATACCCTAGAAAGGAAGTCCCTGGTGCCCCGACATACCTCGGGCCATCTAATATTGTAATTGTATTCCACCTAAATCGTTTAAGTTTTTAATAGAAATGAGTGTTAAATATATAGAGCGGACGTATTTAAGTGAAATTATATTAGTGAATAGCAAGTTTCGATGACAATTTGACCAACGAGTTGTCGTTTAATATTTTCTTCTAAATATATTCTACTAGCTGACCCGCGCAACTTCGTCTGCGTCTCTCAATCGTAATAAATTTTCTCCGTTTTTGAAACATTCTTCATTGGTGCTCCGCTCCTATTGGTCTTAGCGTGATGATATATAGCCTATAGCCTTCCTCGATAAATGGGCTATCTAACACTGAAAGAATTTTTCAAATCGGACCAGTAGCTCCTGAGATTAGCGCGTTCAAACAAACAAACAAACAAACTCTTCAGCTTTATAATATTAGTATAGATTTAATATTTGGTTTTATTTCGACCATTGTCATTTAAATTGCGACTGTTTCCGAATTCTGTGTCAAAATGTGTCAGAATTTTCGTACAGACTGGATTCTTTGTCATTCTTATGTAATTTAGATAAAAAAACATTTGATCGTTTTTTTTGTTGATATTATTAAGTCTCGTCATCAGCTTGAATTTACTGTTAGCAAATCGGTTTACCTACAAAAAAGGAGTAAAAAACTTCTATAGTATACTAATTACCTATTTGTAATAGGTAGGTACTGTGAGTGTATCATCGGTTAAAACGTATATGGACTGGAATCAAAAAAGTGATGTTATCAACGGTTGGTAGACGATTCAAGCTTACTATTACGAATTTCTACTTATAAAGCTACAGGCACTTTCTCAAACATGTTTTGTTGCCATAAACAAAATGTAAAAAATACTTGCCCATTTCGCATTTCGCTAACTATACATATATTTACACTTATGTAGTAGCAATCTGTACCACATTTAAATATACATGCACCTTAATTATTTGTATTTTAATATAACAGTAATGAAAGCCTCTAATGTTGTGTAAACTCTTGCGCACTT